AGACTCGAGGTCTCGATCTTAAGAGCTATTTTTAGCAGTGTTCAAGACTCGAGGTTTCGATCTTAAGAGCTATTTTTAGCAGTGTTCAAGTCATGGCCTCTAAACAGCCCACTTGAAGCAGCTTCCAAAGTCGAAAATCGGACTCGATTCCTCGATCTTTTTTCAGTTTTGGGATCGAGGCCTCGAGTCTTTTTGTCGTCGATCTTGCCCTGGCCTACTGTTTACTAACTGGACAGGCAACCCTTGATCCCTCTGCTTACAGTATACAGTAGGAATGGGCAGGTAGCGGTACCCAATACCGGAACTCCCGGTTCTACCGAAGGAGGTGTCAGTACGGGCTCTGGGAAGGAGCAGACACCAATGGTTTTTTAACGAGCCCCAGGAAGTGTGCTGTGTATAGGCCTAGGCATAGCAGCTGTGGCGTCAGAGGCACAATGCAGCGGGTGACCTTGACACATGACTTCAGATTAAAAGTTGACAATCAAAAACAAAGTTTGCTTAGATTTGGCATCAAATTAGGTTCCACGTGAGCCACTTTGCTTATATTGATACGCTGATTCCGAAAATGATTTTTAGCGGCGATAACTCTTTAAAAAATTCAGCATGCAAAGTTTAATCCTGCGCGGCGGCAAACTTCAAAGGTATTTTGGGTTGCAGTTCACCTCTCCAATTCTGACGTGTGTGTTTGTGGGGGGAGGAGGTGCGGGCGGCGCTGATCGTGGCGTTTGACTCGAGATGCGAGACGCACAGTCTGTGACGTCACCTCCTGGTGTCACTCCCAGTACCGGTACCTACTGGTACTGGCGGTTCTCGTCACCCAGTGCCGAGAAAGTATCGACACTGGGTTTTGGCTGTACCACCCAGCACTAGTATACAGCTGGCCCTCTAGATCCTCCCCCCCACCCCCACCTTCCTAAATTCTTTTGCCCTAGATGGAAAATGCCTCAAGTGGGAATTTTTTCTGTCTTGCAATTCTCTCATAGACAGGTTCAGCTGTATACTGATAATGTGTATTTATTTAATTTATTTAAACAATTAGTTTTAAAAGTGTTTTTAGGCTAGTAATATGTTGCCAGGTACAGATTTGTCAAAGCTTGCTTTGTTCCTCCCCTCCCCGCCCCCCCCCCCGCCCCCCACCAATCCCTTGTGGTTTCCAAAGATAAAAGGCCTCTGCATACTTGCGAAACTATTTTTTCTTAAATTTTATTGCAAGGGGCATGAGAAAGTCCATCCCCAGGGGCGTGGGTTCTTTGTGTTTTGTTTTTTTTGTTTAATTTTATAGAAGGTCATTTTTTTTCCCTTTGTCATTTATTTCTGCATCACTGAGGCATGATACACAGTATATGGCATGCTAAAATAGAAGCGACCTACTCGTGGTTTGTGTACACTCAAATAGCACATTATAATTTAGTATAATAGAAATTACCCTCATGGGCTTGAAAACATGATTGAAAATAGATTAACGTTTTACAACTCATAGACACACGTGACACAAACCTATGCTAAAAATTCTAACAGTTTAAAAGTAACATATCTGCAGTTAGAAGTTTAACCATGTCTGTATGCCCTGGGGTCATTTGGTACCCCTGGGGTTGTATTCTTCACATTTTAGAATACTTCTACTACGAAGGTCTCTTTGAAACGTTCGGTATTTCTCAAAAAGTCATTTTGACAGGCTGCAATGCAAAGTGTACAGATTGGATTAACGAGTAAATTTCCTGTTTGCAAAGTGGTGGCACAGAGTTCCCCACGTCGTATGGATACGTTAGATAAAACGCAATGTACGGATAGAGTTAAACATTTTGAAGCATGGCATAATCTACCGACGACATCTGAATTGGTTGCCCTTAATAGTTATTGAAGGATGGAACTGGGAAAAATGGTATTTGATGCTCAGAGACATGGGGGAGTTAAACTTTACTGCTGGCATCACCTTAGGAATAATTGTTTGCTTTGTTTTCAGTCGATATTATGAATAAACAGTGGGCTTGAGACGAGTTACGTCTTTGCAGATCATGTGAAAGTGTGGGATGCTTCTCTTTGTTGTAGTTGTAAAGTACTTTCTAAACAACTCAATCAAAATATAAGAATAAGATGCCAAAGTTTTTCATGTCTCTTAAATTTATTTTTCTAGACTGGGGTATAATGTGCATGTCGCTGTCCATATTCTCTTGTACTTGAATTTTTGTAGAAAATTATTTTTCTAGTAATCTATGTGTGCTCAGTTCCCTGATGGACTGCCATGTGAACTTTTTGAAATTGATAAAGGACCAAAAAATTTGTGTTCCTTTTTCCGTTATCAGCAGGCTTCAGTATTGTTTACGAGATGTGCAGTGTCTAGCCTGTAATATTTTGTTACCAGGAAATGATGATAAGGTGTACTTAGTGGGCCAAATTCTTTTGGGTGATGGGTGGGAGCACTTATATATATATATATATGTAGCTGGTTTTAATTCAGAATCTGCTTCTGTCTTGTTCCTCCATTAGGTCTGCAGACTGTAGAGTAACCCTTTCAACCCCAATTTAGATGATTGTCAAATTAGGGGTTGAGTCCCTATTTGACGATGGTCGAAATGCATCGTGTGTTTTGTTTGCAAAGCACATGGTTTATGTATATATGTATATTTTTATATCGACTATTTAAAATCATTTTTGTTGACAAGTTTATAGTTATCCTTCCATTTTAGCCTGATTTTTAAAGCTCAGGGTTTGTTTTGAGTGAGTTTTTTAGTTTAAAAAAAAAGGGGGTTGGTGGGTGGGGTAAAATCAATATTTTTTCTTTAACAGGTTTGGGACTCTGGGGTAGGCCAGAATCAAAGGGTGGAGAGATTCAAAGGGTTATGATTTATGTACATTTTCTCTTCAGTTGCTCAGTTCATGTCTCGGCAAAAGTGAAACCTCTTTCTTCTTTCTCGGAGTGTCTACATTTGTAATGCATCGATTGTGTAAGTTATTTCTTGGTTTTTTTCAGCCTCTACAGTCACATTTCTTCAGGGGGAGATGGCACTGGAAGAATACATAGAAAGTCATGACCCAACAAATGAGGACAACATTCTCGAGGCTAGAGGGTCACTGCAGGAGGCCTACGAGTGCCTGTCCAAAATTTCTCAAGGGAATTCAAGGGTACAAATTGCTTCAAAATGATATTCATTTCTAGATTTTTGTTCCAATAGTCTGATCATGTCTTAATTATTAACATCTTGATGGTTTTGCTTTGAATGCTGCTATAGTCTGTTTTTGTTGACAGGTGATTTCTTAGTTCTCTCAACAGACTTTTATTTAGTTTGAAATTTAAAAAAAATTTGGAGAGGGCATATCAGGTATTGATTATCTTTGCAGCAGTTTTCTGTCAAAGGGTGTTTTATGTGCTGAAATGGCAAAAGTCAAGGAAATAGCGAAAGTCAAGAGAACATCCACCCCTATAGGCATATCACTTTCCATAGGTGACATTTTTATAATAAATCTCTCCCTTGATATCTTCTAAGCAGATGGTTTTTACTGAAAGAAAGTCACATGTTGGATGATTCTCGACGGTGTAGACTTTATAATGCCATGTTTTCGGCGTATTTCAATGTTTACAATTTTTTTCTCACCTACCTCTTTTGATAACAACAGTTTGGGCTGCAAGCTGTATTCATTGTGCTTTCTCTTCAACATTGTCGGATTGCTCTATTTGCTGAACAATCCCACAAAACAGATGAAGAAGTAGATCAGCACACTGTACTGCACACTGTTCCATGTTTTTTGCTCATCTAAAGAAGTGAGGAAGCCCAATGCCTATGATGTTATGAGACACACCGTATGTTGTCATGTGCTCATGAGTAGTGCCTATGTGAACTATATTCGCCGAGATAATAGGCTATGACCAATTGAAAGCTGGCAGATGTACATTCGCTGACCTTGCTTCGCTGGGCCTATACACTGTGTGTAGGCCTATTGATGTGTATGATAAACAAAGGAAAACAATACACAAGCAATGTTTATCTCGGCCCACAATTAATACATCTGTGTTTCTGAGTCTCCTTTCTGCTGATTTGCTATCTTGTAGCACATAGGAATTGATGATTTTCTTCACTGAAGGGTTGTTAATAATGATTTTGTGGACAATAATCCCGAATATTCTTTTTGGTTTGGAAAGTGGAGCATTGCGGCTTATCTATAGCATTTTGACAAAATAAAAGAAAAAAAATACCTGAGGTTTTACTGTCTTTCTGTTTTTCGCTGCTTTTTCGATTAACTGTGTTTGGTTTAAGTGGATAACCACATACATTGTTTTTGTAAGTGAGGAAGATGGTTTTGAAGATCATCAGTAAAATCTATGAATGCCAAGACGTACAGTATGCATTTTTAAAATATATATTTATTTTCTCAGTTTCAAGAACAAGCATCGTTGCTTTTGGCAAAGATCCAGTTCTGTCAAGGTTTCTATCAAGTTGCATTAGCGTCTCTAGAAAAAGTAGATTTGGCTGCTGTTGCTCTGAGAGAAAGCGAGGGGAGCTCTCTCAGAAATACCAGACTCCTCTATATTGTGGCTGAATCATATGCTATAAAAGGTAAGTTTTCTTGAAATCTGGTTTTCTTGATATCTAGTTCAAAGAACTCTTTAAAGTTGTATTCAGCTTGTATCATTTAGAATTCAAGTGATCCATTTCAATTTACTGTCGTAGAATTTTCTTAAAGTAGAATTTTTATGCTCTAAATTTTAGTATGCCCCTTTGTAACTTGTTGTGACTGGATTTTCTTTGTTTTCACTACCAGGAAAATCCTTGGACAAGACAAAGGGAAACTTAAAGACCAAATACAAACTTGCGGAGCGAGAAGATGAGATCGTCACCTGCTATGAAATTTCAGGAGATCTGGCTTTGCTTTGTCTGCAGCAACGAGAAAAGCGCCAAAGTCAGCCCTGTGACTCAAATTTTGTCATCACCTCACTTGTTGAGATGGCTTTGTCACAAGTGCCCCTCATGCATCTGAAAAGCAGGTAGAGTTCATGAAAGGACCTGTTGATTTTCCCATCCTTTCAAGCACTTCAGGGCATATCTTTTAAAATTACGTCTATCCTGAAACAGTTCAAAATGGTACAGTGAATGTAAATAAACCCCTATCCCTTACCAGGTGGGTGTAACCCCACCTCAAAGGAGAATGCTTTTCCTATACAGTTGGGCACAGATAACACGAACACAGAAAACTCGAAATCACGGTTAGCTCAAACAATTTGCCATTGGAAGTGTCTACGTACTCCCCGATTGGGGTCTATGTAGTCATGGTGTCTAGGTGGACCCCAAAAATGTTGGATTGTGATTGGCTCGCTGAGCGAGCGGTAGTTTACATTGGTTACAACGCAAGGCTGCTAGGCCTACTTACTGATCATCTTGGGTAGTGATTGGATTTATCTTGTCTTACTATAATTAATTTATTTTAGCCTAGAGAGAGAGAGAGAGAGAGAGAGAGAGGGAGGGAGGGAGGGATGGATGGAGGGAGGGATTTTGTCGTGCATCCAGCCAAGAGTGTGCAGTTCGGTCTTGATTTAGATTCTAGATCTAGATACGTTTATTAATTAAATACTCTCTCTCTGGGCTAAAATAAATAAATTATAGTAACACTAGATTGACACACCGCCCGAGATGATCAGTAGCCTTGCATTGTAACCAATGTAAACTACTGCTCGCTCAGCGAGCCAATCACAATCCAACATTTTTGGGGTCCACCTAGACACCAAGACTACGTAGACCCCAATCGGGGAGTACGTAGACACTTCCTTTGCCATTTCCCAACTGATGTCTCTTTGATTTTTCTTCATCAGTTATCCCAAAATATGGATGTGTCGAACACATTTGTCACTCCCAGAAGTGTTGAAATTATTCATGCCTGACCGTATATATGTGTTATCTTATCTTGTGTAGGCGTTTCATCATTTGTTAATACTTATTATATGTTGATTTATGGACTGAGGGTCCAGTCTAGCAAAATATGCATCCTCATTCTCCCTATCAAAATGACTCGTTGGGGTCAAGCATGATATTGGGCTCCCACAAATATATATCCTGATACATTGGCGCATTGAAAGTTCAGTAGTGTAGGTGACCTGTGTCTAAATCTGTTTCTTCCATTACATTTGATTTTTCAAATGAAGGTCTTCTAGTTTTTTAGTGTCACTTTATTCTTTTATCTGCTTCAAGGCATATAGTGACAGTTATTGTGGACTAATTTAAATTTGTTGAGCTTCTGCAGTTTTCAAAACCTTCAATCCCCCTACTGTCGGCAAGGGACTTATATTCCCAATCCCTGCCTCTTTACTTTAACCCTATCCGTACTCCTTGGGGTCATTTTGTACAGCCGGGGTTGTATTCTTCACATTTTAGAATACTTCTAGTTCAATGATCTCTTTGAAACTTTCAATATTTCTAAAAACAATCATTGTGACAGACTGCTACGCAAAGCGTACGGAGCGGATTAACAAGTAAATTTCCTCTTTAGAAGTGGTGGCACAAAGTTCCCCACGTCGTATGGATATGATAGTAAAACATGACGTACGGATAGGGTTAATCACCTTAAGTGTATAGAAAGATGGAAATGATTCAAGACTTAAACTGACTTTCTTTATCTACAAGTGTAGATAATGTTATAATAATATTATGTCGCGGAGTCTTACACTGAGAAGTCAATTTGTCATCATCATCATTGCCTTTCTCGCCCTGGGTCAGGGTAGAGGCCACAAACAAATACTTTCCACCTTTGCCTATCCTCGGCTGGCCTCTTTATGTTATTCCATGTCTTGCCACTTTTTTGTACATCAATTTCTGTGACTCTTCTCCAGGTTCCACATGGTCTTCCCCTTGTTCTTTTACCCTGTGCGTTCCAATCCAACATTTTCCTTGTTATGCAGCTGCTTGACTTCCTGAGAGTATGTCCTATCAATCGCCACCGCCCTTTTCCTACCTCATCTCTGACGGTCTTCTGTCTTGTTCTACCTAACATTCCCTCATTGGTGACCCTGTCTGTCCATCTGATCCTCAGTAACTTCCTCAGAAACTTATTCAAGAAAACCTGGATCCTCTTTATGCAAGTCTGAGATGCATTCCATAAGTCGATTTGTAATGTGGGTTTAAGAGCCAGCTGTCATTTAACCTGAGATGAAAGTTCCTGCTTACTGAGTGTTTCCTGTTAAAAATTTGTTGACCTTTACATGTGTATTTCTTTTATTTCAGGGATGTTGACAAAAGCATTCAGCGTTACAGGGAAATGTTACGAGCTGTTGAATCAAGATTTACTCAGGACATAAGAAAGGTATTACTATTGTTGTGCGTGGGCTGCACCTGTGACTTGTGAAATTCAATTATTGCTTTTTTTGTGTGTAATGTTTAAGAAAAAAGACGACTTGATTCGTTTCTATTGTGATGGTTTGTTTGAAAATTATGTATTACAATACCTCAGTGAGTATCAGTATTCTGTCAGTAAACGCTGTTTTCTCATAAAACAAAACATATTTCTAAAGCTAAGGCTCAGTCACTAGTCAGATCTGTAGAATATCTGGCTTATAATTATAGTAAAAATTTTTTTTTTTCCAAAATATAACTACAATCGAACCTGCCTTAATGGAAACCTGTGTAAAACGGAAACTTGTCTTAACGGAATCTCCCCGCTCCCCCCTTGATATATTCTTCTTTAATTACCTGTATAAAACGGAAACCTGTCCAACACGGAAACGGAAAGAAAAATCCGCTCCCTTCCGAGGGTTTCACCTGTCTAAGATGGAAAATGCTTTGCCCACTCAGCCCTGATTTGAAACAAAACTCGCAAGTTTGATTCCGCCGGCTCTAAGCTTAACGCCATGGCCATGCCGCTGGCCAAGGAAGGGGAGTAGGGGTACAATGGGGGTATAGTAGAAGTTACCCTATGTTACCCCATCATGTGAGCATTGAGCGCTGCAGATGGTCAGTGTAGTGTGAGAGTGCTCGAGTAGCCAGCCACTACGGAAACTTTCCTGGGTAGCCAGAAGCCAGAGGTGTGAAATTAGATTGACCAATGCCTGCCGCCCTGATCGTACAGCCAGCCGAGAAAAGAGTTCCTCGAATCGTTGTTACAGTGAGGGCAGTGAGGGGTGGAATTTGTGGGTGGGATTAAGGGGGGAAGCAAAGGAGATGTTCTAACGTTTCTGTTTTTAATAGGTCAAACAGTGGTCCTATGAAAGGCAAGCACTGGTGGTAATTGGATGCGTAAGACTGACGCATGTCACTATCAGACAGGATAGCAGCTGAGAGGTGTGAAGTTTTGACCACTGCTTGCGAATCGGACAAGCGATCCTTGATCCCACCGGCTGGGCCTTTGAACCCCCCACCCTCACCCCCCTAAATTCCCCTGTCTAAGACGGAATTTTTTTCCCGCTCCCTTGCGATTCCGTCTTACACAGGTTCGACTGTATAGTTTCTCCCCTCTACTTTTGAAAAGTGCATGTGTTCCAGCATGAACATGCCATTGTGCAAGGCAAATGAGTGATAAAATGTAAGAAAAGATTAATACAAGGAGAATTGTGTAGAATTGAGTCATTTCTTAGTTTAATGTACTCGCTTTTTGAAAACTGTTTAGAAAATACTATAAAGAGTAAAATTCAAAGTGGAATGCATTTTTCCTAATCGTGTTGTTCGCTCATTGCCCTTTTTTTTCAGCACCTTGCCCTGGAGCTGGCTCAGCTGCTCCTGCGCTCGTGCAGCATGAATTCCTACAAACCGATAGATCTGCTGGCCAAGAACCAGAACGCAAAGGGACCAAAACCATTCGTGCGTTCGTCAGACAAGTAAGCTGTCTATTGATTTTTCGAATTGGAGCAAAAAAGATTTCAGTGTAACCGTTTTTCAGGTTTAATTTGTTGTGAAGGCCGAAAAAGCTCTTTATTTTAACCTTAATCATCTCTTGAGTAACATTTTGTTCATCTTTATTGCAAGCTTCTGTATATTTAAAGTTCCTCGTTTCTATTCTAAGACATCGTTTTTATTATTGTCCTCACCTCATTTCCTTTCGTTTTGTTCGAGAATTGCTAACACGGATTGTTGTTGTCGCTTACTCCTGTCATTGTTCAGACAGATGTGAACCATGTTCAAGTTTGCGGCTTACCACTTCGGCAGTGGAAAATTAAAAATTTACTTGATGTGTTTAGGTTGGTTGCTGTAGATAAAGTTGAGATAACTGCCTTCCCAAAGCTAAATTTACCTTGGTTGCTTAAAATAGATGGGTTTCCTTAGGAACTAAAAAATGTCTGCAGTAAAGGCATTCTAGCAGAGAAATAGGCCATATTTGTAATTCCTGTGCTGACTTTAGAAAGTTTTTTCAAAGTCCTCTTTGATATGGTTTGACGTCTTTGAAGGAAAAAAGCTGCCATATTGGCACAATTTGACAAACTCCTTTTCTATCAAACATGTTGGATTTTCTGGGTGACAACCGGAGGTCTGTTGTGATGAAAATCATGGCCAACAACCAATGAGAAGGCTACTTGTATATTGAGTGTTCAGTGGGTGGAAGGACCTGCAACTCTCTATCCCTGGGAGCGAGAGGGAGAATGAAGAAGAAGAGGAAGAAAAAGCTTACCCTTTTACTTGTGTCTCCTTCAATCCTAGGGCCTCAGGAAGCTGGCGTCGTCATCTGAGCAGCAGGTGTTTCATAGTACCATCATTACTTTGGATTTTCTCACTAAAGATTTGCAGAAATTTTGTCAATTCTTATCGTTTTGGATGCAAGCACTTTTCTTCTTTTTTTTTTTTTAAGGCATTCATTTTTTCAAAGTTTCTTGAATTGAAGTCAGTTTATAAAAGAATGAAAACTCAAGGTGTCATTTCGATTGAATATAAAGATTTCTATGCAATAATTGGGGAATAACAAATTAATAACATTAGACTTCTCTTTTACTATGCTTTCTATGCTATTTTTTTTTTGGCAAAAAAATAGACATATTTGTAACCAGCTATATATATATAAGCTTTTGCTTTGAAGTTCTGCATAGTCTATTTTTAATACCTTAGTAATCTTTGATTTTTTTTTTTTTAAAGTTGCTTATGAAATCTGGTTCACTCAAGAATTTACCATACTCCTTTTAAATGCTTCATTAACAAAGCTAGGAAATCGCTTCTTTCCTTTATATGCTAGATTTCCTGCCAGTTACCAGTTATGATGAAGTGCTAAAATGCTTGTTTAGTGGTGATAATGAGAAGAAGGTTAATCTGTTTTTGTAGTTTTTGAAGGTCAAGGATGCTCCTTTGTAGTCTGTTTTGCTTAAGCTTTACGTATGAAGATGACAAATTAATATTTAATTTGATGAAGAGATTAAGATTAATGGCCTTTTACGTATTGTACCTAGTTCATAGCAAAAGGGTTAAAAAAAAAATATATATATAATCATTTGACCTGCCTGTTATTTTTTAAAGACTCACAGTTTAAAAAAAAGGGATAATGAGATTTTCATAACATCCCTTTTTCTCTCTCTCTCTTTCTTTCTCTCTTTGTCTCTCTCTTTCTCTCTTTGTCTCTCTCTTTCTGTTTTTCATTCTCTCTCACTATTTCTTTCGCTCTCTCTCTCTCTCTCTCTCTCTCTCTCTCTCTCTCTCTCTCTCTCTCTCATTCTTTATCGCCCTCTCTTTTTATTCCCTGTCCCCCCCCCCCCCCCTCCCCTCGGTCCTTCCTTAATCCCTGCACCTTGTTTTTCCTTGTTTTCACTGTCACATCTGGTGAAGGAACACCCATTTGCTACTAATGGGCTTCAATCTTTGCGATAACTTGCATGCTATCCAAATTTTAACGATTCATCTTATTCATCTTGGTAATGTCCATATGCTTACATTGTATTTTATATTCTAGCATAGTTTCTCTTTTTCCCTCCCCATTGTCTGTCTTATCTTTTCCTTGCACTAAATGACCATATTTTGTCATGTGTTTCTTTTTTGATCAAACTCAAATTTTTTTTCCATAACATTTAGATTAAAAGAGAGCTTTGTGATGACAGTGAGATGTCATTTTTGCACTATATTTTTTCAATATTTTACTCCTTTTACTGTCTTATTTATTGAGATTTTGAACAGGGGGCATTGATATTCATTAGTCTAGAAAGTATTGTGGTTCTGCTTAAACTGAAATCTGTGAGACAGCTGGATTTTCTTCAGTGTAGCTGTGTTTTCAGTGTAGAGAGAGAGCTCAAATAGCGAAAATGAAAATCAGCGATTCTTGTTTTTTTTTTTACTGTTTACGGCTTTTTGGATTAATTATATTAGGGGTAAGCAGATGCCACTGTGTTTAAGACTTATCGAGTTTGCAGGTTTATCTTACACTTTCATGTCATAAAGGGAATCCTGTTGTAATTGTTATGTGAAAAAGTGAAAAAGTATTTACATTTGAATAAGAAGCTTTCTGTTATATATCACCCAAGTTCAATATTTAGATTTTATTTAATGAGACTCCCACAGGGAGAAAAGTTTCTCTATTTGATAGGCCATTTAAGATGTATTATAATTATTATGACTGCCTTTTGAGATATTCTGACAGTTATTAGTATGATTTGATATGGAAACAGGTTAGTCACGTAGCAGACATTGATTACATAATAATGCAAAAGATGGCATGGAAATGTTCTGGATCAAAGCGTTGGTTTTGTTTTCTTAGATATATGATTATTTGTGGGTAGTTGGCGGGTGCTCTGGTGTGGTTTGCTTCTTCTTTCCTATGAAACATCTGTCATCCATATCTCCCCTTCTTCTTTTTTATGTTTGTTACTCTCTTGTAACACCTCTAATCTCCTGGCGCTCATATGACCCTATGCAGTTGCGAGCACCATAAAACATCTACTAAAACAAACAAAATATGATGTTTTAATTCACTGAATTGATGCTTTAAGATTTCATTTGATTTTCTGTATTACTTGATAGAATGAATTCTTTAAAAAATTTTCCTCCGCGTTTGAGAATACTCGATGTTTATTTGTTTTACCATTCTCTGTCTTCATAGTGGGTGGTGGAGGGCTCCACTGGTAGGTCCCAACTTCGTTTCTTTCCATCAGTTGTTTTGTCAGTCTGTTTTGCTTTTTCCTACTGCATATGGCTATTATCATGTCAGTATGCTCCAAACTAAAGTAAACTAAACTCTCCTTTTCAGACTCTTTGTTCCTCAGACTCTTGATGAGGAGGTTCTACTTTTGTTGCTTATTGCTGAAGCTGTGGTAAGGAAATGAATGCATGTTGTAATTTGACTGGTTATTGTATTATTTAAAAAATGTTCAGTGTGCAACATATGCATATAATTTTGGCCATAACTCATTTTGATAGAAGGTGCACTAGACTTCAGAATAACCGCTGAATCACCATCATAATCCAGTTCTTTCCGATTCTAACATTTACCATTTCAGTCACACAGTGGCTGTATAGTGTTACAGACTGTTAGTTACTTACTGCTGATATTTATATATTCTGTACCTGTCAATGCCATAAGTGCTCTTCTGCAGCTGTGTGAACTGAAGAAACTGGGGGTAAAATGCCTATCCTAAGGATAGAACTTGCTTCCCGTGGACACTGAAGATTTGGAAATTTTATTCATAGCCGCGGATTAAAAAAAAAAGAAATTACCAAATTCCTTACAAAAACTTCTGTCTGCAATGGTGTAGCTGTATTTTTATTTGTCCTCTTAGGCTTGGAATATAGTTGAACATGTCCTTGTTTGTTTTTAATGTTTGGGTAGAGATTGAAGTCCGAATGGTTATTTTCCCAGGTTTTTGAGCCAGTATTCTTGGAAACTTAAAATAAAACAGTTGTCACATTAGGTTGTCTCCTGCTACAAAGCTTTAGGGATTTATTTCTCTGATTACGTATGATAACTCCTCTGCGACCATTGTTTGAAAGTCTGGGTCCTGACATTGTGCATTGTTGGGGGTTTTTTAAAACACGTAGTCAATAAAATATATCTCCTCAACTTTTGGTGAAATAATAATATACAGCTGTAAGTTAAGCGAGGAATATTTTGTATTTGTATGCATTTGATTTTAGGGCACGAGAGAAGCAGTGTTGGAGAGGAATAAGGAGACGCATGAGATGACACTGACCAGCGTGACAGCAATCTACGACTTGTTAGCCTTAACCCTAGTGAGGCGAGCTCAGTTCCTTAGGCTCACAGAGGTATGCTGGACTCTTTAGATTAGTCGCTCACTAGCAGACTTATTAGTGAGGGGAAATGTGGTGTAGAAGCTTTCAAAGGTATGGTATTCTCATATCCTTCAGTAATTGTGGCAATCAGAAGTCTGGTTGATTCATTTGGTCTTGATAAAAATCCATTCTTGAGGTTCTTATGGTTGACTCATTAACTTTCATGCTATTCATGCCAGGGAGGCATTGCGCTGCCAAGAGCGAAATGCTCGCAGCTAAAGCGATTTGAAAACAACAACAATTTGCTATTCATGCTATCTCAGTTTCACTCGCCTCCAGACTTATGGCAAGTCTGGGAGCTTACTCCACTGTCAAACGAGATTGAAATTAATCAACTCTGCTTTTGAAGCTTGATGAGATATTTCTTTGCGCCATAGAGCCATAGTAAATTCCTGGACCACATTCAATGACAGATAACATCACAGATTACTTTAGACTTTGAGTAGTGTCAAAGTGATGATGTTATAGAGCCTATTGAGCTTCCTGGATTTGTAAAACTGATTTTGAATATGAACAGAGTCTGCTGAATCCTTGTACTGCTTGAACTGTGAAATGTAGGCCAATTTCCTTGAAATCAGAAACGAAACAAAATTTAATAAGATACCATTTTTTACTGGTTTTGTGCTTAAAAGCGACCAAATATCGCTATCTGTTTCGACTTGTTCCCACTCCAGTCTGTGGGCTGGACTTACTAATCTATTATTTATTTTACTTTGACATTTTCAAATCTCACCTGTCTTGATAATAGCCTTCCCTCACCTCTTTCTTTCTTTTCCAGTCCTTTGAAAAAGCCATGAGATTTTCCTTTGAGGAATTTCACATATGGTACCAATATGCCAACTCACTAATTTCTTCCCACAAGGTAAGTGTTTGAGACTCCCTGACAATATCTCTTTAGGCCAACTGGTTTTCAATTTTGAATTATAAAGAGTAATGTTTTTTTGTAACTATTGGCGAGTAATAGACGCAGTGTTGCATACCATCATAAATTTCCTTCTTGCAGCTGGAATTTTGTTTTGCCTCGTATAATAAAACTATAAGACAATCAACAAGACTACAGGATTTGATACAATAGGTATTTTATTATGTTTTATTTCTTATAATGTTTGTCTCTGAAATATATTTCTCTTTTATCGTGATTTCGGTCCTTTGTATGGCTATACCAATGCTATCTATTATTTATTATTATTTGTTTTTTTGCTGATCTGAGATGCATCTGAAAATGATTGAGGTGCAATGAGTTCTTTAACCCTATCCGACGTCATGTTTTACTATCATATCCATATGACGTGGAGAACTCTGTGCCACCATTTTCCAAAGAGGAACTTTACTCGTTAATCCGATCCGTACGCTTTGCATAGCAGTCTGTCAAAATGATTTTTTGAAAAATACTGAAAGTTTTAAAGAGATCTTTGTACAAGAAGTATTCTAAAATGTAAAGAATACAACCCCGGGGTTACAAAGTGACCCCAGGGCGTACAGATAGGGTTAACTCTTTACATTATTCCTCAGCATGCTCATGCCCTGCTGGTGCTCGCCGAGTGCCACCGCCTGGCTCCGCACGACACCTGCGTGTGCCTGCAAGCTGCGCAGTTGTGTTACGAGCACCTCCAGATCTACCAGCAGGGGTTGGAGTGGTCGGAGCGGGCCGTGGAGTGCACGGGGTCTCAGCACCATCTGTCCAGGGCTCACATGGCCCTGGGGACCGGTCTGTGCCTGGTGGCCAAGGACTCCAAGCTGCTGCAAGACAGAGAGGAGCTCAACGAGAGAGCTCTGAAGGCTTTTAAAGAGTGAGTTGTGCAAAGTTGTTGTCTTTGTTGTTGTTCAGTGTTCATCCAGTCCCCCCTAGGCTGGCACTTCTCCGACCAATGTCATGCCACTGGAGACCAAAAACTCTGTGCCCTTCGTAGCAGAAAAAGAAGTTGAATGGATGGAAGCACCTGTCTTCTTTTGGGCAACATGTGGGACAAAACTAGATTTAAAGTGAGAGACATTTTTTTGTCATTAAAAATGTTTGTGGGTGGTTGGAAGGTGCTCTGATGTGGTTGCTTCTTCTTTCCTATCACACATCTATCTCCCTTATCTCTTTTTCTTTTTTTTTTGTTTGTTATTCTTTTAGAACACTAATCTTTGGCACTTATATAACCTTATTAAATTGCAAGTGCCGTAAAAATCTTACTGCAACTAAACTTAATATGTTTACAAACTAATACAGACCTGTTTTTGTTTGAATTGATTTCAGAGCACACAGGTTGGATCCCAATGACTACTTAGCTGCATTCCATTTGGCTTTACAGTTTGCAAATCTCAGGAAGGTGTGTATGTTGTGCTCAATTCCAAGAGGGATCCATAGTATAGTCAAGGTGATTGATCCTGCATCAAAGGGACATTTGATCCAGACACTCCAGTCTCAATTGATCAAGATGAAGGGCTGAATTATATAGTTTTAACGCAAGGTTGTCTTCAATACAGTACAAAAAGTACCGGAGTTTTATGGTCCATGTACCCTACTTTCTTCCCAGTTTGCCAACAGATAAAATATATTGAGGCCTTGCTGTTCACAAAGTTGCTAAGTCACATTTCATGTTAAATCAAATTCATATGATTAATTTTTTTGTTTGTAGATCTGACACATCATAAGATGTACCTTGGAACCAGGGACTGACTTTGTACAGAGGGCCTCTGATGCTGATAGACTCTTGCTTTTTAAAAAGTTTAAATTTACGCACCTTCTTTGAAACCTTAATGGAAATCTTTTTGAAAAGTTTAAATTTATCCAGCTTCTTTGAAATCTTAATGGAAATCTTTTGGCTGTGGGTATTTTGTCTCGTAGATCAGCGAGGCAGTCACATACACCAAGCTCTCGCTGAAGCTCAGGAGTGACTTCATTCACTCGCTTCACTTGATGACCCTGCTGTTGTCGGCTCGCAAACAACACGAGGAGGCCATGACCTTGATTCGAGCTGCCTTGGAAGAGTACCCAGATAACTTGAGGTAGAAATGGTGTGTATGTAAGGGTGTATGGATGTGTGTGTGTGGAAAGAGGGAGAGGGGGGGAGAGAGAGAGAGGGGCTGGAGAGAGAGAGAGAGAGAGAGAGAGAGAGAGAGAGAGAGAGAGAGAGAGAGAGAGAGAGAGAGAGAGAGGGAGAGAG